AGGTAGTCGCCAAAAAAAATCACATTTATCCCACCAAAAGGAGCATCTGTATTGATGTGTTTCGCTGTTTTCACTATTCGATTGAGTCGAGCTAAGAGACTAAGTCCTACCATGCTCATCTCATCGATGATTAAGTACTTCACATGACGCCAGTCGTTTCCAACTTTATGTCGTCAGGTCTAAATGTTCTTGTTTGTCTCTTTTTAGAATTTTTGCGCGCTTCGCCTAAAAATGAATGGATTGTTAATCCATCAATTTCTGCCGCTGCTATAGATGTGGGTGCTAGTTTGCGCAGCATTTTGCCTCTCTTTGTCATTTGGAAATAATTCGTGATTGCACGAATCAATTGTGATTTTCCAGTACCACCACAACCAGGTATACACATTAGTAACTGGTTGTCAATAGTGCCTGAAATCATTATGGTTAATGATATTTGATAAATAAAAAATCAAAACAATAAATACCAGTGTGAAATTGGTTATCACCATCTAAGTGACTAGTACCAATCATAAAAGCAAACTTCTGCTGACCATTTAGTGTAAATTTCTTGATAACATCTGATTTGGTTGGGAATGAAACTGCTGTAGATGCAGTTACAGGTGGTACAACGGCAATTTGTGCTTTAAATGGACTTGTAGGTATTTCAGAAGTTACGACTTCAACTTGTACATCATCATCTCGTACTTCCAAAGTGTCTTCACCTGAAATTAAATAGCTTCTTGCTTGGTCTCTTCTGATTTCAATGTCACGTTTCCATTCCTTAATCATTCTTGCATGATGAGAATGAGCTATTACAAATGTATTCGAATCATCTACGATATGATGGCCATTCCTGTTCAATATATTTTTGTACTCTAAATAAAACATAATATAATTAGCATCGAATGGAAATAAACTCACCATTTAGTAATGCAAATCTGTCCGTGTTATCAATTGCTCTCAATGCGTCGCACACATAAAGCTGTTCATGAGTACTGAGAGATGCAGAATAAGGTTTAGTGGTAATCTCGTTTACCAACGAGAGCATTTGTAAGAGTTCTACCGAGTCATCTTCCGAATTATTTTCATCTTCTTCATAGCTATTCGGAATCAGAATAGGATCAATGTTGGTCTCCGTTTGTGCTTCGGCAATAATTTGATGGAGGTGTTCGTCTCGATCATTTTTACATTCATGCAAAAGTTGTATATTTTCAATAATCTTGAACGCACTGGCAGAGATCGATGATTTTTGAGCTTCCAGTGCTTCCGCCCATGTCTGATTCAGTGCACATAGGTCGTGTACTGACCTCCATGGCACAAATAAAGTTAGCAATGCACGACAATAACGTTCGTATGTTTCTTCTCGCTCACGACGAGGTATTTGAGGACCAAGAATAACTGGCACAACTGGAGTAGAGCGTTTAATAATGATATGTGATAATGATTGTGGATATGCACTTGCAAAGGTGTGTCGTTCATTCATCTTTGTCCCTTCTGTACACAATCATTCACCTTCACGTCCATTGGTATTTTTTAGTAAACGGCGATCTGATTTGTCGATTACCTTTTTGTGAAAGTGACTAACAAAATCATACAAGCATAATGCAGTTAGATCTTTTGATCGATACTGATAGTCAAGACGAGTATTCACCATGACGTAACTATTACCGTTTTTTGTTTGTGTTGGTTCCAACAGAAACTGTTCTTCAGTTTCCTTGATCTCTTCTTCTTGATCTTCATCGAAGCGAAGTGACATCTCTACAAAAAACGGATGTTTAATATTTGTACAATAATTTTAAAATTCTTTTACCATCTGGTTCCTCTTCGTCAAATCTTTTTTGATTTCGCGGTGCGTTCACTAGTTCGGTTTGCAGATAGTTTTCAATCGAAATGAGAAAAAGATTTCTAAATGTATGTGCAGTGTAATGGTCACCATAGTTCATTAGGTATGACGCCACTTGAACACCGGAAACTTCTTGATGTGAAGCAATCATATTATAACAGCGTAAAATAAGTTTGCGCGATTTTTCAACAGCGTCGTCGGCCCCGTTTGCCGGTCGCGACTGCTCGATGGCTTGGACTCCTTGTTGTGCAAGAGCAAACATATCATAGAAAGTCAGACTTGATTTTGTTCCCTCTACTGAAAGGAGGGTCATACGCCGAAATGAGGTGGGTTCGTTCGTTTGTTCACACCGAAAAAAAAAATGTTCTTTTGACCTTCTGCAGATTTCTCAGTGAAGTAGCAGAAAGCAATCTGCACAATTCCAGCCAATCAGAGGTTTCTCCGATATGAGCTCTTAGCCAATGGGATTTCGCGAAGCCGAAATCGAGCCAATTAGAGGTTTTCTCCTGTGGGCTCTTAGCCAATGGGATTTCGTCGAGGCGAAATTGAACCAATCAGAGCTTTTTCGATATGGGCTCTTAGCCAATGGAAATTCGCAGGGGGGGCGAAAGCGAGCCAATCAGAGGTTTTTCGATATAGGTTCTTAGTCAATGGGACTTCGCGGAGGCGAAATTAAACCAATCAGAGCTTTTTCGATATGGGCTCTTAACCAATGGGATTTCGAGGAGGTGAAATCGAGCCAATCAGCGGTTTTGCGGTATGGGCGCTTAAGCAAGAGGATGTCATGCTGCGGAACTGCAGCAAATCAAGCATTTTGCGATATGGGCGTGTAGCCAATGGAATGTAGCGAAGCCGGAGGCCAGCGAATGAGCGGTTTTTCGATATAGGCGATTAACCAACGAGATTTTGCGCAAGGAAAGCTAAGCCAATGAAATGCTTGTGGGTATGGCTCATCAGCGAATGAGATTTTGCGCAAAAAAAGCTCCGCCAATGAGAGGTTTTTTTATATGGGCCAACAATCGATGTGATTTTGCGGCGCCAAAATCGGTCGAATACAAGGATTTCCGAGATGAGCTGTTAGCCAATGAGATTTTGCACCACCGAAATTGAGCCCATCAGGGGTTTCTCATATGGAGCATCGACGAAGTATATTGCGAGGCGACAAAATTGGCGGAATCTTGCATTTTCGGGAGTGGATGGTTGGCAAAGGAAACTTCACGGAGTGGTACTCGAGCCAATCTGGTGTTTTGAAGCTATGGTGTGAGAAAATGAGATTTTGAGGATGTGGATGAACTTACCATGCATTTTTAGATTCAGATTTCTAGAAAACGAGTTTTGAAGAGCAACTAGTCAAGATA